CAGACTTGTTTGCTGGCCACAGCAACAAATCCTGGCAGCAGCAAAGCTGACAATTTGCAGGACCAGGTTCTGCTGGGATGCTCTCCTTAGCAAAAACAATGTGGTCCCAATGGATCAACAGCAGAATTTCCAGCACTTCATAAAAGCACTTAAAACCACCTGAAATCAAAGTGCTGCTCCCCACAAAATCTCAGGCTGTCTCATCACCCAAACAGCCCGAAAAGGGCTTTCTGCTTCGTACAGTACTCCAAGTTCAGAGCATGTACCACAGGGTTTAGGGTGAAGTCTGTGTACAGGATTCCTGCCAGGCCAGCAGCTCAATCCTGCTCTCTGGTGGCTACACCCGAGAAGCCAAATGCATCCAGCAGCGATTTCTCCTCGGCGCTGCAAGGAATGCTCACCTGGTGTTCCTCCAAACGCTCTTTGCCCTTTATTCATTTAGGTCAAGGTTGAGCTCGGGAGGCAGCTGTGCACAAGGAGATGGAGACCACGGGAAGTTTTACATTCCCTGCTTGAGCAGAGCATGGGTCCCTCACTGCAGGGGCCCACGGGCTCTGTAAAGGGGCTGGAACCATCACACTTCTTTTAAAAGCCCTTCCAAAGCCTTTGTATCATGGAAAGCATCCTGCTGCTCTGTACGCAGTGCCCACAGTCCCTGCAACAGCTTTTCCTGCAATGCCCCAGCCTGTAAACATTCCCCCCAGTGTCCTGTTTCCCTTGAAGGGCCAGAGGGTGGGGAGAATTTCTTCTGCATTTCTTCACCCCACCCCTGCTGAGACGTGTCCCTGCTCCCAGCCCCACGAAAGGGCAGCACAATGGGCTGTCCCAAAGCACATGGCATCAGAAGATGTCCCTCGGGGACAACACCTCTGCCCTTCCCACCATCCCCATCAGTCTCCCAGGGCTGGGCAAAGACTGCCTGTGACCCCAGGACTGGTTTCATCAATTGATCACACCATGAAGCAGCATCCTTCAAAGACTGGACTCATCCCTTGATGTTCTGAGGAGCATTTAATCATCTTTTCCATACTGGCTTCACCCTATAAAGTTCTAAATAGAGATTACCCCCACTCTTCACTCTGTAACACAATACAGAAAAAAGATGTGTAAAACTTGTCTCCCTGCTCAGCAGCTTTGCTGCCCTGGCTCTGCTCCCCCCTGCCCGAGCTGCTCAGTGTGTATGTGTATGTAAATATGTGGCAGTGCACACAACACCCCCATCTCCTGCTCTCCTCCTCTGAGCAGACAGAGTAATTACAGTGCAGCAGTGCCAGCACGAGGCATTTCTGCTGATGAATGCACTCAATCTAAGCACAGTTTTATGTATCATTAATTCCTTTAGCGTTCAAAAAATAACTTTTTTGATGGCAGATAATACTGTAATCACTCATGATTGCCAATAAAATTATCTTCATTGAGCTGTGTAAAACAACTACAGGAGTAAAACAACTACAGAAGTAAGTTTACTCACTTAAAATTTCTTCCCTTTTTTTCTTATTTATTTTTTAATGCAAAGCTGTTTGGACTCAGATTCCTGTAGCAGAGACACTGTTAGAAGTCCCTACTCCCTCATTTATATACAAAGGAGCTTTTCAGAGACTGTTGCTTAAGGTGCCTTCAGCAATATCAGGGATCTCTCAAGGGGTCCCTTCCCACCCTAGGGATCCCTCTGTTATGATCTCTTCTGCTTTTGCTTCAAGCTACCATGCAACAGCTGCTATGTACACAAGGAGCAAGAGAGTTTGTGCAAATTAAAGTTGCATGTGCAAGTCATGGTCCTCTCCCAGGGCAACTCCTCCTCCACTCTGCTGGTGGAGAAAATGCATGAGCACTTCCTAATCTGCTTCAGAGCAGAGTCCACAAGGCTGGCAACAAACCGTGTGTTCAAACTGATTGTGCTAACTCACACACTCCAGCTTGAAGAAGATTCGGCAGCAACAGGCCCTCGCACTGACAGAGCTCTGAGGCTCACGCAGTGAGGAGGACAAACACCTTTGTGACTACAAAGTGAACAATAAAAACATCACTGAGTGAACAACTTGGTTGAAACATGCAGTTTTCCGGCAGGGGCAAAAGAAGTCACTCCCACGTGGCACTGCCTCTTGCCCAAGCTGCTGAACAACCTTCTTGCAGGGGTTAAACTGCAGCTCTGAGTGGAGCTGCTTCACCTTCTTGCAAATCATGTTGACTAACTCCACTTGAGAGTCAGGAACCAACAAGGAGAGGAGAAATGAAGCAAGAAGCTGGTTGTTGTAAATGTAACCTGGATCTTCTTCCAGAGAGCCAGATCCCAGGAAGCAGGTGACTGGCAATTGGAGGCAGGAGCAGGTTGTTAATTTCTGGGAAACAGTCTAAAAGCAGCAGGGTGAAATGGAAGAACAGAAGTGTAAAATTCCTGGGTGAATGGCAAACAATTTCTTATTTCCTCCTTGGAAATAAGAAGAGTAAATGAAATCAGCTGTGGGAGGCCCAACAGGAGATGCTGCTTCCCTACAACACACGGATAAACCATGGATCTCCCTGCTCCAGGATGCTGGGAGTGCCAGAATCAGATTACTTATAATATTTGTGAGCACATAGCTATTAGTCACTCCAACACAACCCCTGGCTAAAGGAGTCACAGCATTCCAGGATGCCAGGAGACAGAGCTAAGGAAAAACACCACTGTGTGTTTACCATGCTCTCAGCAGTGCTCTGGTGTCAGGTGAACAGGAACTAGCTGGTCCTTCAGCCCCAGCCAGTCTGGCTGGCAGTGTGTGTTTTGCCACAGACAGAAGATGATGACAGCTTCATGCTCCTCCTTTGGTAACTGCAGGGTTCCAGCACCTCGGGGGTGTGGTGGCACCCACTCAGTCACAGCTCTGTGGACACAGGGAGGTACATGAGCAACGGGGAAAGAAGCCTTCACAGATCCAGCAGATCCTTTCGTCCTCCCTTAGCCACAGGCTCCAGCCCTGCCAGGCAGAGGAGGAGGAGCAGGAGTAGGATCAGTCCTCAATTCCAGCACCCCAAGTTTCAAACCCCATTTGCAGTAGCATGTAGGCAAACCTATGGACATAATGGCAGAAGAGTGCTCATCTGGCAAGGAGACACCAGTGTCCCAAAGGGACATCACTTGGCCCACAGGGCCAGCAGCTGGCCACCGCCCCAGGCCATGGGGAACAAGACCAGACCCATTTTACCTCACTCAGCCAGTCCCAGGCACATTGTCCTGGGCAGGGCATTGCCAGCCACCACCTGCACATGCCGGAGCTCCCCGTCCTCTGCCCTGTGTCCTCCACTGCCCATCTCTGCTGGCAGCTGGGCACAGCTGCACCTGCTGTGTTTTGGGATTCCCCATGCCCTGAGTCACCCTCCTGGACCTGGCTGGCCCCAGCAGAGACCCAAGCCTTACCACTGCCCTGACTGATCTTTCAACCCCATTTATTTGCCCCCACACACTTCTCCAGGAAGGGAGAAGGAGAGTCTCCAGCAGCAGCTCCTGGAGGCGCAGGTGCTGCAGGCATAACTCTCCTAATTTGTTTTCTTCCCTTTCACAAACTGAACTGCAGAAGTTGAAAATTGTTCCTGCATGAGAGATTTTAAGCAGGACTTAAATTAGGGGGAAGAAGGATGGAGAAGTAATTTTGTCTTCCACAAGAACTAGTTCTAATTTCTAATTCTCCAAAGTCCCCCACCTTTCTTGTTCTCATCCTGAGAGAACTCAGTGCACATGGTTTTACAACCTGCCAGGGAACGCCCCCGTTTTGGCATTGTGCTGCCATGGGGTGAGATCAGCGCAGGAGATTGGAGCCTCCAGAGTGAGAAAAAAGCAAAGGGGAGATAGGGATCACAGGCATCATGTGCTCTGCCAGCCTTGAACTGATTACATCCTCCTGATTCATGGGAAGGGCACTCCTGCCAACCCATTTCACTGAAGTGAGCCAACTTCAGTGCCCTTGGGAGTTTGCAATCTTGTATAGCTCTCTGAGCCCCGTAATCTGAAGAAAGGCAGGGAGGGGGAAGGAAAAAAAGAAGTTAAAGGGAAAAAAACTGCTGGGAAAACTGCTGTTCTTGCATGTGATTTCCTTGACGCAGAAAACAGGCAGCTGCATATTCTCAGAGCAAGAAGACGTGGAGTTCATGACGACTGAGTATTTTTGAGGCTTCAAAACCCTTCAGCAAATAGCCCCAGGACACGGAGTATGTCCAGCACACCCCAGGACACTGTGGATGCACAGCACAGCAGCTCCCTCCAAGGGTGCCAGGCTCAGGCACGAGTGGTTCAGCTGCTTCCAGAGGAGCCCTGAGATCCTGAAGACAAAGAAATAAAGCCAGTGGCCTGAGCAATAATGCCAGGAAAGTCGAGTCTGGGTGCATCTAGCTCCATCACATTTTCTAGCTCAGCATCTGCCCAGGGGCGGCTTGGGAACAGTTCATCCTGCTGGGCAGTGAGAAAACATCCCAAATTCTTCCCAACAGTTTTTCACAATCCTACGGGCAGTATCTAAACTGGACAACTTGAAATATTTTCTGACAGGCTTTTGGAAGTCGTGGAGGGTTGTTTTTTTTTTAAGGACAGACCCCTTGTGGGGCTGGTGATGAAGAAATTCTCTTGGAGTTTCCCTCAACACGGAGTGCAAGGCCGCAGAAAGCAGGGATGCCAGACAGCGCTGCTCGAAGCCGCGGCGCTTTGCACAGCACAGGCACACCCGTGCCCTGCCAGTGACAACAGAGCTCCGCCGGGCACAGCCTGCGACAATTACTGCTTCTTTTTCCCACACAGCCGCTTGGCTCCAGCAACGCAGGAGAATCGGGTACCTTTGGGACTCCCCTCCGAGCTGCCTTGATCCTCCAAGCCAAGACGGTTCCCAGAGGAGCTGAAAAATTACAGAGAGATCAAAACCTCCCTGGGAGAACGGAAAAACCCATAAACCTTATCAGACAGAGACCACCCAGCACAGGGAGGAGCGAGCTGCCGTCCAGCAGCTTTTCCTGCTGCCGAGCCTCCCCCTCCCCGCCCGCTCCGCGCTCGCACGGCAGCCAGCCGGTTAAATCCCTGTCCAGCCCGGAATCCCGCCCAGGTTTTGGCTCGCTCTCCCCACGGGCGGGTGCCCTTGGCCGGCCGGGCGGGGCGGAGCGGGCTGCGGCGGCTCGGGGAGCGCTGCCGCCGGTGCCGCGGTGCCGCCGGTGCCGGTGCCGGTGCCGCGCCATGCGGGTGCCGCTGCCCGCGCTGCTCGGCGGCTCGGCGCTGCTGCTGCTGCTGCTGCGATGGCGGCGGCGCCGGGCGCTCTGGAGGAAGGTGGCGGAGGCGCAGGAGCGGCAGGAGCTCAGCCTGGTGCGGATGGAGGCGGCGGCGCGGCGCTTTCGGGAGCAGGTGAGCGCCGGCGGCCCCCGCTGCATCCCCCGGGGGGCTCCGCACCTGGGCCCCCTCCCCGCCGCCCAGCCCGTGCCCCTCCGGCTGCTCGCCCGCCTGTCAGGTGCTCTCCCGGCTCCTTATATGAACCCACGGGGATTAAGTGTTGTTATTATTTTCGCTTTCTAAGTCAGTGTGGGTGTGTAGCCCGCAGCGGTCGCCGCTGTCGCGGGGATGGCGAGCGGGGGATAACCCGTTATCCCCATTGCCGTCACGGGCAGCGAGGAGGGGAAAATCCCTGTGTGAAAGCTCCCCGTGGCCGTGGCGGGAGGCTCAGGCTCAGGCTGGCTGAAGAGGCAGCAGGAAGAGGCGACAGGCGATGTGTTATCAGCAGAGGCCAAAGTGCGGCCGCAGCTGCAGGGGTAGGGCAGGGATGCGATGGTGCCCCGCGCTCCCGGCGGGCAGCCCGGCCTCGGGCTGGAGCAAACTCGCTCAGGTTCAGAGTCCAGCTCGGAAGCGTGAGGTTTGATACATTTTTCATGATGTTTGGTAGGTGGTGAAAAACCTCTGCTGACCCAAAAATTACCAGCCCAGGGGCTCCCTGGTTTTTGCAATTCCATGTGCAAATATCTTATAGTGCCAGGAGAAGAACTGGCTCTGGTTCTGGTTTAATTCCTTGATGGAACCATTTGTATAACCATGACGCTAACTCCCACTATAATTCAGCAAGAGCATTGCACTAAGCTGCTCCCCCAGGCCTGGCCATGACCTGTCTGAACAAGGCTGTGTGAATGGCTTTATTTTAATTAGTAGGTACTTGGCGTGCCTGGTCTGAACAGGAAGAAAGGCTGAGAAAGCCGAGGCTAATATTGGCCCTGAGGGTTTCACACCGTGCTCACAGGTGCCAGGTAGAGCAGGATGTGGTCTTGAGGCAGATACCACCTTCAGTGACTAAATGGCAGATATTTTTGGGGTGAGTTACAGAGGAGACCAAGGAGAAAGGAGGAACCCATCAGCTGAAGTAGAAGTGTGACATTGCCTGTTCAACCTTTCCCGTAGCATCCTTCCGTGAACGTGGTCTCCGTCCTCTCTCTGCCTCTGCCGGAGCTCTCCAGGAAGCTCCGAGATGGCTCCCTGCCTCTGGACCACGTCTTCTATGCCTACGTGGGCAAGGTGAGGAGCAAGGGCAGCAGGGCAGCGTGTCACCCATGGTGGGGCTGGCTTCTTTTGGGAGGAGCACAACACAAGGTTCAAACCTGGCTCAAATGCTGCGAGCTGTCAGTGCTCACTGGTTAGCGGTGGGCCCTTCTGTGGCTTTCTGTGAGTGGTTAGAGAGCTGGGCATCTGCCTGCCATAGCTCTCAGCTTGGTTTGAGGAAAAATGAGCAGCAAGCAGCATCTGCACAGCCATGCCTTCCTGGGAGAGCCCACACCTTCCCTAGGGCAGGTATACTTGTAGGGAAGTGGCAGAGTGCTGCTGTTGTCTCCCCTCCATCTCCAAATGAGTTGTTAAACATCAAAAAGTCCGTTTTCATGTTCATTCTCTACTTTTGCTCTAATGTTCTGATCACTTCCTGGGCTCCCTCTTAGGGACTATCATTTATGCCATCCCAGAAGCTCAAACAAGAGAACAGTCTGTGGTACTCATCTGAGCTGAGTGCCTCCCTTTAGCACACACAGACTGGTACTATGGCCCCACTGTGTCCATCTTGGAGTTTGGTTTGAAAAGTATCAGCAAGGGCTGCCCTGACACCAGCTGTGCAGATGGGGAAGAGAAAAAGGCAGGTGTCCTTTGCAGAAGAGAGCTCATTGTGCAGCACCTTGGGCTGTGACTCACCTGTGGCCTTGTCCTCCTTTCCCCAAGGCCCTCCAACTTGCCACAGAAACCAACTGCATCACGGAGTTTCTGCAGGAAAGCGAGACCCAGCTCCGCAAAGCCAAGCTGATGGAGAAGAAAGGTCTGCTCTATGGGGTGCCTGTCAGCATCAAAGACTCCATCGACTGCCAGGTACCTCCAGCACAATTCCCATGTATCCCGAAATCCCTGTGGGTTGAAGTTTGGGGAAGGGGGAGCTTTGACCTCAGCACCTGGCTTGACTTTGTCATAGCTGATGTGGAATGGGCTGCCTGGACAGGGGAGGGGCTTTGCTGCCTGTCTCCCATGTGAGCCAGCAGAGAAGTGTGGTCAGGTTTGCCATCAGCACACCTTTAAACGTGTGTGTGGTGGGGAGTTGCTGGAGGTTCATGTATGCACTTAAACGTGTAGATAAAAGTATGGGGACAGGGAGAATTGCAGTCCTCCAACTGGAAACCTCATTGTCTTCTATTCCCAGGGTCATGACTCCACACTGGGGTTCATAAAAAACCTCAATAAACCCGCAGCAGAGGACAGTGTGGTGGTGCAGGTGCTCAAGAGACAGGGGGCAATTCCATTTGTCAAAACCAATGTTCCCCAGTCCCTCATCAGGTAGGTGGGTGCTCCATTCCCTCAGCATAGGAGCAGTGCTCTCTTCCTCCTCTCAAGGGAGCATTTCTATCTGGTCTCGTTCTCATTTCCCACTTCTTTTTATATAACAACACCTGGTCTCCATTCTTTGTGTCTATAAATTTCACTTTAAAAAGTAAACACATTTACTCTGAGGATAAAAATTATTTCTAGTTCCACATGAAATCAAGAAGCAGAAGAGGAGGAGAAGAGGAGACTGTTTTTTGTCTTTTTTAAAATTAACTTCTCAGAGATGATCCTATTAACTCTAAAATGCAAACACATATTCATGGAAGGGGAAGCTAGTTAAGCTAATGGGCTCAAATTATTCTGCCCCCAAACCTCCTGCTCTATCTGGCAAGACCACTCTTGGTGTCATTGATATGTGGTGTGCTCAGGTGTGCTCTGCTGGACAGCCACCCTTCTAGTGTCCCTGTGTCCTGCCAAGTGAGCTCTGGCAAAGCTCCTCTGTGGGCCACCATTGCCCAAGCCCTGTGAAAGGCCTTTCTTAAGGTGATGTGGTAATGGCTGGCCACAGTTCAAAAAAGCCACACAAAGAGGTTGCCCTAGGGATTATCAGACTTTGCACCACTTTCTGGGGAAGTCCAGTGTCAGATATCTCTGCAGTTGGCATTTGGCCTGTGCTCAAGCAGGGGCTCAGCTTTGGGTGACCTGTGGCACTGGGCTACCTGAACAGGAATACTTTCCAGGAGGGTTGCTGTATTTGTGCTGCCAGAGGTTCTCTCTGGGGTAGGTTTAATGCCAGTGACATAATCTATCAGTGAATTCATGTCCTGGGACCACCAGGAAAAGGCTCATGGTCTTCACAACCACAGTAAATTATGTCAGTGTAACAGCTAGTGAATTACCTGATTGTCTTTTCAAGGTCTTTTAGTGGTGACTGGGCTCCACAGCAGCAGATACCTGAATTCCTCATTTGCAATCTCTCTATCTCTCTCTCTTCAGCTATGACTGCAAGAACTTAATCTTTGGTCAGACCCGCAACCCTCTGATGTACACCAGAACCCCCGGAGGCTCCTCTGGTGGAGAAGGAGCACTTGTAGGAGGTGGTGGGTCCATCTTGGGCATTGGGACAGATGTAGGAGGGAGCCTGCGTTTTCCTGCTGCCTTCTGTGGGATCTGTGCAATCAAACCCACAGGGAAGAGACTCAGGTACTGTGAGAAATGCAGCGACATCTCTGGCTGACACCCACTCTACCAACCGCTCTGCTGGGATGCTCATGCTCCTGTGGGCAAGGGAATCTTGGGAAGAACTGGGAAGAGCTCATTTATCCCTCCTGCCTGAGCAATATCTATATGGAGGGAAGTGTTGGTTCCCCCAGAATGGAGGTGGGGAAGCCTCTTCATCTGCCTGCTGAGGGGATGGTTCTTCTGGCTGACGTGGCCTAAATCACTCAGGCCGAGACTTTGTCTTTTGAGCTTTCTCTTGGTCCTTCTTTAGCCAACCTTCACATCTGCAATTTTAATTAATACTTGCATCTGCTTAAAGCCTTTCCCTTCAATGAAAGCTACTCAGCTGCTGTATTTTGTGTGTCTCTTTTCTTTACAGCAAAAGAGGAGTAATGGCTGGAGTCGTTGGGCAGAAGGCAGGTAGGAGTTGATGTCTGTCCCCCAGCAGCAGGGCAGGGGTGAGAAGGACCCTCTGGTTATGGGGGACTTTCTCCATCACCTTTAGAGAGAAGCAGGTTCCCTTTCATGGATTTTTTTTCTAACATGAGCTGAGAGGAGCTGTTTGTGTAGCATAAACCACAATACAACCTGTTACCCACAGGGTGTGGCCTTGCCTGTCACTGCTTGGTGAGGGTGGGATTAGCAGCCAAAGGGATTGTCTGATGTTGTCCTCGTGTCATGATTGACAAAGCTTTTTGTTTATTTTGTTTTAAGTCATGAAATTGAGATGTCAGGGTACGTATTAATGGATAGCAACTCCGTCCATAATGATGGACCTGTGAATGGGAAGACACTTGTGGGCATCCCCTGCCCAATTCTTAAAGAGAAGCTGTTGCTAACACTAGATTAAGACAAAACAATGCCAAGAGGTCCTGGTTCTGCAGAACATGCCCTTGGAAGACCCTCAGCCATGAATGCTCTCTTGTGGTCTCTTCCAGTGGCTGCAGCAGTGGGACCACTGGCAAAAGACGTGGAGAGCCTGGCGCTGTGCCTGCGGGCGCTGCTGAGCGAGGACATGTTCAGCCTGGACAGCACAGTGCCACCCCTCCCCTTCAATGAAGAGGTACAGAGCCTCCGAAGGGCCAGAGACCTCTGGGGAGAGCTGCAGGCTGAAAACACCTGACCCACGGGTGGGCACCTGGGCAGAGCCAAGTGCTGCTTTCCAGACTCGCCCCGTGGCATGGGTGTGCTGCTGGCTCCCCTGGCAGCCTTCCAGCCAGCACCTCCCTCTCCCTGCAGGTGTATTCCAGCACAAAACCCCTCCGCATAGGCTACTATGAAACCGATTTCTTCACCATGCCCAGCCCGGCCATGCGACGCGCCGTCCGCGAGACCAAGCAGCTCCTGGAGGAGGCTGGCCACACGGTAGGGGCTGCTTGGAGAGGGGGACAAGCCCATCCCGTGTCTCTTGACTCAGCAGTAGCTGTTCAAAAGGGAAAATACTGTTTTCAGGGAAGGATGGAGGTTTTTCTGTGGGCTTGTCAGGAAATCCTCAGCTCAGCACAGCCCGCTTCAAGCCCTCAGTGGCTTCTCCCAAACAGTGCCTGTGCCACTGATACCCTCCTCCATTGTCCCTCCAGCTGGTGCCCTTTGAACTCACAAATGTGGACTACGTGATGTTTAACTACTGTGTCAGGGGAATGTTCGCAGATGGAGGCAGCTCCTTTGTCAGGAAATTGTAAGTGTGGCCTGGAATGGTTTGGTGGGATTGGTGCCTGGCTATAAAAATCCTCCCTAGGGTCTGGCTGGACTTGGGATACAGGTAGCAGATCTAATGGATGTAGGTAGTGGCTGGTAGGCACTGGGGGAGGGCTTAACATTAAGTGATTCAGCTGTACTTTGGTTCTCTTTGGGATTGTTACCAGCCTTGGAAGGAGGCTGGGAGCTGATATCCTGCAAATGCTGTGACAATCAAGTGTTGCCCAACAGAATGGAGCAAACCTCTTTTTGTCACTTAGATAGGCTGTTCAGAGGGGTTGGCCTGGGAAAAGCTGACCTGCTGTGATTCCTACCACTGCTCAGCTGAACCCCTCCTCTCCCTTTCAGCAAAGGGGAGATGGAGAAAGGCGGCACGAAGCTGTTCTTCTGGCTGGCAAAGGCACCACACTGGCTGAAAACTCTCCTCTCCTGGATTTCCAAACCTTTCGTAAGGTCCTTTTCTTTCTAGTGTAGACAGAGTTAAGCTGTATGTGAGTAACTTGTCTCCCAATGGAGGAAGGCTTTCTCACAGAGAAGTCTCTGGGCATTATTATTTCTGGCTGTGGTCAGAAACATCTCCAAACTGGGGTGATGTTACTTCTGTGCCTTTTCTCCCCATTGTGGGGAAAATCTGGCCTGAACACTGAGGAAACAGCTTCTATTTGTGACTGAGCTGTCTCAGAGGACAGAGCTGGGATTTTTATATTTTTTTTCACTTTCTCTTGCTCAGGTGCCTCGATTTTCAAGTATCATAAGAAGTATGAAAGAAAAGTGAGTAAATCTGAGCCTGAGCAAATGTCTGAACATTTGTTTTGCAGCAGTGTTTGCTACATTATTGATACTGCTGCAGCTGTGTGTGTCTGAGAGAATGCAAGGCAGAAAATGCAAGGGTGGGGGCAAACAGAGCAATTTGTGTCAACACCATAACACTGCTGGGTTTGGAAAACTTTGGAAATTCAGGGTGGGAATGAGAGCAGGGTCATAGCCTTTTGCTTAGGAAGAGGATGAAGCCTGTGGGAATGAAATATTGTGTTGGCTTCAGCACTGGTTCATGCATCCATCATGCCAAGAGGAAGGGATGCCAGAAGGCAGAAAGAAGGTGTGCACAGGGAAGAATGCCTTTCATTGGATTTGTTTCCTTTTACAGCACAGTGGATGAAGTCTGGAGCCTTCATCATGAAATCGAGGTAAAGTATTAAAGTTTGGGGTTAAATAGGTTTTTTTTGACTTCTCTTTGGGAAGAGGCAGATTCAGCACTCACCAAGGTTAGGAGATGATCAGGTCTCTGGTGATGTAAGATGGGAACACGTCACTCAACAGACCTCACTTGGATGTGCAAGTTCTCAGCACATTTAAAGATTAGGACAACACACCTGAATTTTTGACACCTGCATGTAAAAATGTACATCACCACACATTCCCTTATTTCCCTTTTGGTTTTCCAAAAACAAAAGCTCATGTCCCAAGTCACCACGTGCCTGGGCGCTCAGTCTTTGCCCACCTCCAGTTTACCAGGAAGAGGCTGCTTTGTGAGCTGGGAGGAATGTTGTCCAGGCAGCACAACATTTTAGCAGGATTTTAGCAGGATCAGGCGTGGTGTAGCCTGTTTGCTGCTCGCAGGGAAGAGCCGAGAGCCCAGCTGGATGCCCAAGGAGAGCCTCAGCCAGCAGCTGTGGGACAGTACACCCACCCCACTGACCACCAGCACGTTTCCTCCTCAGGACTTTTGCCACCAGTTCATTGCCCAGTGGAAGAAGTTGAATCTGGATGTCATGCTGTGCCCCATGCTGGGCCCGGCCCTGGGCATCGGCTACCCTGCCAAGCTCTCAGGTAGGGCACCCACAGGGACCTCTGCTGTGCTGCTGTGAGCAGCCTTCCTGCCTCCCTCACATCCCCAGGGTGCTGGCCAGCAGCAGGAAGAGCTCAGCTCTTGGGACAGCTGCTGCCCAGCCCACGGGGTGCACCTGGAACAGCCCCCGGTGCAGTGGGAGCCAAAGGGCCGGTTTCCATCCCAGAACAAGTGCCCCATTAGCTGGAATCCTGCATACAGAGGGGTGAAGGCTCTCCCTGTGCAGGCTGGCACTGGAAACTCCCCCTCTCCCCCAGTGGCAGTCAGCTACACCATGCTCTACAACGCCTTGGACTTCCCCGCGGGCGTTGTCCCTGTCACGCTGGTGACGGACGAGGACGAGGAGCAGCTGAAGGGCTACAGGGGATACTATCAGGACTGGTGGGACCGGACCCTGGCGAAGGTGAGCGGTGCCAGGTTCTCCAGGGGCACAAGCTCCCCCATCCCTTGCTCTGGAGATCCCCAAGCCTGTCCCTCTCTCTGTGCCCAGGCTTTCCGTGGCAGTGTGGGGATGCCCGTGGCCGTGCAGTGCGTGGCCCTGCCGTGGCAGGAGGAGCTGTGCCTGCGCTTCATGAAGGAGGTGGAGACCCTCAGCCTGAAGAAGAACAGTTTCTTCTGAGCCCCGGGTGCTCATGCAGAGCAACACCCCAGCTGACAGCAGCATGGGCCATCCTTTGGTGTGACCCAGAGGACTCTGGTGCCCCTCAGTGAGGATGCAGTGGTGGCTGGGCTGGCTGCTGGATTTGGGAGCAAGAGGAAAGCAAGGCGAGCTCTGATGAGGTGGAGCTCTTCCAATCATTGTCCTAACATAGTGCTTTTTATTATCTGAGTTATGTCTGTTATTTCAAGTCTGTGTTTGTGTGTGGGGTTGGAATGGAGTTTAATCACCCCAGGGAAATACAAGAATGTGAGCTGTCTCTTACAAATGGGGAAACTGGGGCACGGGCACTGGTTCTGTCTGAGATGCTCAGACTGCTACTGGGAGTGCTGTAGGAACAGGGATTTTCCCCTCTGTTCTCAGCTCCCTGAGGATGAAATCTGGTGTTTTCCCTACCAGAGACCAGCAGTCAGAAGGGAAAGCTGAGCCTCCGTGCAGACTCTGGCAAGAAGGGATGGAGCTGGCCCACTTCCCACAGGGCTGCTGGCACCCTGCACAGCATGAAGGAGAAATCATGGAATTGCAGAACAGTTTGTGTTGGAAGGGCCCTTAGAGATATCTCCTTCCACAGGCAGGGACACCTTCCACTAGAACAAGTTGCTCAGAACCCCACCCAACCAGGTCTTGAACTCTGCCAGGAATGAGGCATCCACAGCTTCTCTGGGCAACCTGTGCCAGGGCCTCACCACCCCCAAGGAAAGAATTTCTTATATCTTACCTAAATCCACCCCCTTTCAAGCCTGTATTGAGCAGCGTGCCAAGGTCAGATGGACAGCAGACAGCCTGCCCTGCACATCTTCTCCTCCCATTTGGCCCATGCCAGGTTTTCCAGCAGGATTTCCAGCCACTGGCAGCCCCATCGCTGGGGTTGGCAGCACTGGCTGCTCCCCGCAGGTTTCCAAGGGTGCTCCAAAAGGAATACCACAATGCAAAAGTGTTTTCCCGTGTGGGAATGCCAAAAGCAGATTGTAAAAAAGCTCTGGCAGGATTAATGTTTGGGTTTTTAATGTATTATCGTAGTTTAAACCATGCAAAAGCATGGAGTGTTTTCCAGGGCTTGGGATAGTGTTTATCACAGCCAAGGAGAAAGCAGCCCCAAGGGTCCCCATTCTTTATCAGCAGGCTTAGGAGGGAGGGAGCTCCAGGCATCCCATGACTGAATGCTATGTAAAGCCAAGCCCAGAAGAGCCTGGGTGGGGTTACAGGTGCTTTCTTCCCACACGGAAAATGCTGGATGGGGTTATAAGTTGGTTTTGAAACTCAGTCCTGGAGGACTTGTCCCAGGAAAGGCAGTGCCACCTGCACCCCTGCTCCCAGAGCCAAGCTCCACATCATTGTTAGTTTAACCACTCTCTCCCTGGCATGGAGGTGGGCAGGGTGCAGGAGTCCAAACCATGGAGCCGCCAGTGAACCTGAACCTTTAATTATTCCTCACTGGAAGCCCTGAGCAAAGCCCTCCAGCAAGCCATGCCCGTGGCCATGGGGCAGTGCACCAGGCAGGGCTGGAGCTGCTGGCTGGCTTTGGGGACTTGAGGCTGCCACAAGGGCCAGCTGCAGGCTGCTCCCAGCCCAGCCTGGGCAGCAAGAGGATGGTGTGGGTGGCAGCAGTGAAGCACTGAAGGCTGGGATGGGGCAGTGAAGACCAGTCAGTGGGGAGAGGTTGGTGACATCCCCACTGAGCTGTTTGGCTCACTTTGCTACCCGCCCTGTCCAAATAGGGAGGATCCTCCCCAATCTTCCTGTCAGCAGTTTCCCTGCAAGGTCTCATGTCTTCCTCAAGCTTCCTCTGTGCTGACACAGGAATAATCTCACAGGACATGTCTGTAACAGGCAAGAAGGTAACACGATATAGCAGCACGACCACTGGCTTCAGTTCCCAAACGAGACCCCTCCACAGAGAGCAGTGGTTACTCTGGACGCTCTCCCCTTACAAGCTGTGCTACCCTGCTGACTGGAGCAGAGCCAGCACCTCTCCAGAAGTAGGGGGGTTGCCTTGCCTCTTGGCAATGAGCTCTCAGAGGCATCCCCTGCCCCTTCCCTGTGGGCTTGCAGGTGCTTGAGAACTGAGAGAAGATTAATTTTTTCAGCATCTCCTTTTTGCACTAATCCACAGAACAGTCCTGGGCAGGGGAGCACCCATGGCAAGGGGCAGCTGATAAGTCTATATGGTCCAGCTCCTTTGCATTCTGCTGGCTGGAAGATGGGTTAGAAGCAGCACAGCAGACTCTGGATCCGTCAGAGGGGATTTCCCAAAAGTGCCTGTCCTCTGATTCAGGTTGCCAAAATGCTTTTCAAAGGGGCTTTTCTTGAAAATGATACAGAGCAGTCACTCCTTGAAGGCACTTTCAGAGGGCTCCTTCCACACTGCACTTCCAGAGTCGCTGTTGCACCTTCATTCTCTTGGATCTCCTGAGCTCCCATCTCTCCACAGGGACACTCTGACTCCCTATGTGAGGTTCCCCAGGACAAGCAGAACTGTGTTTTCCAGGCTCACGGGGCTGCAGGTGATGCTGCCTGAGGGACAGGGATGATGGCTGAGCACTGTTGTTAATGGGCTTAAGTGTTCACTAATTACTGCACGGGGGTATAGCAGGGCCAGCCCAGAGCTGGGCTTTGCTGGCATTCAGCTCTGTGTGTAGCCAGGTACAGCCACAGCCACTGGCTGGGGAGACACAGCCTTGGGGACACCCCTGCCTTGGGGAAACCCCCAGGCTGAGCAAGCTGAGCAAGCTGAGCAGACGACAGCTCAGCCTGACCCACAGTGCTGCTCCAGCAGCCAGACCCTTTCAAAGTCCATGCTCTGCAAAGTCCATTCCCGGACTTTGTTAAAGCAGCTCTGCTTTAACAGAGCTGATGCTGCACAGTAGGCGAGCACAGTCTGCATCCATCAGCCCTCCGAGGAGAAGGTGGGAGAGCCAGGTGTCTGCAGCTGGCCTTAAGAGACAGAAATCATGACCCAAGAGCGACTGTGGCAGGTTTTGGATCCATCCTGGGGAGATCTCCGTGCCCTCTCGGCTCTGCTCTGCAGCTCAGCTGCAGCTGTGCTGCTTCTGAAATGGCTGGGAAGGAGGCAGGTCCAGCAGAAGATGGATGAGGCAAGGAGGTCTCGGCATCTGGCCCTTGAGAGAATGGAGAAGGCAGCTCGCAGGCTTAAACAAGAGGTAAATTTGGGGTATGTGCAAGGAGGGGATTATAATTTGGATAACCAAAGAAATGGGGGTGCTCTGATCAATCCCTCTGTGAATTGTGGCTGGGGCATGGACATGTTTTGGAGCATCACCAACTCAAGGTTTTGTGAGGGTCATCACCCTCCATTGCCTCAAAAGGCCCTCCCACAAAAGACAATGTAAATTAAGTATTTATCAATACAGACCCACTGAGGAAATCCTGAGGATGAAAGAAAAATTGGAGCTTGGGACCTTCTCAGTCAGGTCACCACCCCAGACCTCCCACGCTCATTCTCCTCATCCATCCCTGCTGCCAAGCCTTTCCTCTCCCACCCTCTTTCCTCTACCCCTCCATAGGGATCTTGGCTGCCCCATCATCCTCAAAGTACAAGGGGGTTCCACCTCCTTCCAACATCTGCCCATCAGTGACCAAAAGCCATTTCCTCCTGCCCATGCCCAGGTAAAGAAGCACCTGGATTTTAGGAGGTCAGGCCTTTGGAATTGTCTTAAACCCAGAAGAAATACCTCCTGCTATTCTTTTCTTGGAAGGGAGGTTGCAAACAGCCCACACACTTTCTTCCCCCCCTCCTTGTTAATGATAAATTTTGTAAAACTTTAGCTGGTTGAACTGTTATTCAGTGAGTTAGAGTTAGAAGGGGAGTGAAGGCCTTTAAGAGGGTAAACAGACACAGGTCTAACCACTCTTACAGGTTCATGCAACTCTCCAGTCAAGGTGGAGCTTTCTGCCTGTTTTGGTTCCAGTTTTATGAATTCAGACTCAGCAAATTCCCCATCTGTAAATTCCCCACTGCAGCACACACAGTGCTCTGTGGGAGGTCTGCATGTCTACAGGGCATATATCCTAGAGTTTTCCACTCAAGGTGATTGCTGGGCAGATGTTAGAATTGGGTTTTTGCAGCCTTAACCAACCTTTTCTGTGTTTTTCTTCCTTCTGTACACAATTCTCCACCCTTTGCAGAACCCGGGCACCCAGACCTCGCAAATCCTCTCACTGACAATGGTGGAGCTGGCAGAGAAACTGAAGGAGGGGTCCCTGTCCCCAGAAAGTGTCCTCTACTCCTACATGGACAAGGTGGGTGATACCTCCAGCATGGCAGAGATGCTGCAGGGCTCTGCTACAGTGGGACTTTCAAATTAAAAATCAGCTCATTTGCTGAGACAGCCAGAAATACTGGGGATTACAATTTTTGGTACTGTTATGTCTGAAGGGCGGCTTACAGGCAAATAAGCAGGACAGAATCCAGGGCAGAAAAATAGAAAGAAATACATTAAATTTATAGGTAAAATCTCAATAATGCCAAAGCTTTGAGAAGGTTGAAAATTCATCTTGAAAACTCAATATGTAATGTCTCCTTCCATCCATTCATCTGTCTTGCTGCTCTTCTCTGTCTTGGAGAGGCTTTGGAGGTGAATCGGGAGGTGAACTGCGTGACAGACTTCATTCATGGATGTGAGGATCAGCTCAAGAAACTGAAGAAGCAAAAGGAGAAGGGGCTGCTCTATGGCATTCCCATCAGCATCAAGGACCACATTAACTGCAAGGTACATCCCCAGTTCCTCTGCCTTTTGCCATGGGTCTGGGAACAGGCCAGGATGTCCCATCCTCATCAGGACTGGCTAAGAGTTCCCTCAGACAAGGATGTTCTGGATCCAATATTGTGGGACCAGCAAGCCTGCCTTTCTTATGATTAAAATTTTGGTTTCTGCAGAAAGTTGTAGTCTGTTGTGATCTGGTTTTCCCTGGGATAGTCAGATCCTGTTCCACCTCTGAGAAAAGTTAGGTGGGATCTTTGCCACCAAGAAGCATTCAAGAGGCATCATGAATTAGGTCTGGTTTTGTCACAGCTCCAAACAGCATCTCTCCTTCACTTCAAGAGTTTTGTTTCCCATCCCCAAGGGCCACATCTCCTCTGGAGGGATGGTGAAATTTCTGGGCCAAGTGAAGGAAGAAGACAGCGTCATTGTCCAGGTTCTAAAGCACCA